AATTTCCCCTCTCTTGGTATAGACACCTCCTCATCAACTATTGGGAGTGGACCACATCCACCCTGACTGAATTGGCCTTGTCAACACTGGTTCTCTACTTGTAAGGTAACTCCCTCGTCTTTGTGTGCCAGTATATTTATGCTTGTATCTGTAAATTTCACTCCATGCATCTGAAGAAGTGGGTTTTTACCCACAAAAGCTTATGCCCAAATAAATCTGTCTTTAAGGTGTCACTGGACTCCTCGTTTTTGTGGATACAGACTAACATGGCTACCCCTTTGATACGTTACTGTCTGTGGAGATGTACCCTTGCCCTTAACCACCCTATTGCTGTGACAAGGGGGGTTGGCTGCATAATATTGTGTGGGGAGACAAACTGGGATGGAGCCTTTGTGGAGTTTGGAGACCAAACACAGGCTGGGTTATAGAAACTGACTTGGGCTCATCATTCCCCTCCTGCATGCTATGGAGGGTTCCACATGATAGGGATTTCAGGTGCCGGTGCAGAAGGGTGTGCTGCCTGTCCATGATGCTGCTCCTCAGCAAGGGTAGTGGGGGGATTCAGTGCCTCAGCAGGAGCCTGGATCCCAGGAGGAGGAAGAGGAAGAGAAAAAGGTGTTGCCTGTCCCTGGAGAGAAGCAGCAGCCACAGTGGTGGTCAGGACCCAAAAGTGTTCTCCCACCAGTTGTACCCGTGATTGCATGAGTGCATGGTCCCATTCCCTCTTGATGTACTCCCTCTCCATGAAACAGTTCATCATTGCCTGCTCCTGCCTTAGAGCACAATCCTCCCTTGCCTGAAGGGAACCCAAGCTGCGTCTGACTCCTTGGCTATGTCCACATTACCACGTACAGCAGTATAACTTGCGTCACTCAGGGATGTGAATAAGTCACCCCCTGCAACTGATTTGAGTTACGCAGACCTAAGCACCTGTGTAGACAGCGCTAAGTCGGCGGGAGAGCTTCTTTCACTGACTTAGTTACCACCTGTCATAACTATAAAGGGAAGGGTAGCAGCCCTCCTGTGTACAATACTATAAAATCCCTTCTGGCCAGAGACTCCAAAATCATTTTACCTGTAAAGGGTTAAGAAGCTCCGGTAACCTGGCTGACACCTGACCCAAAGGACCAATAAGGGGACAAGATACTTTCAAATCTTGGTGGGGGGAAGGTTTTTGTTTGTGCTCTTTGTTTTTGGGGGTTGTTCCCTCTTGGGACTAAGAGGGACCAGACATCAATCCATGCTCTCCAAATCTTTCTGAACAAGTCTTTCATAGTTCAAACTTGTAAGTAACAGCCAGGCAAGGCGTGTTAGGTTTATCTTTGTTTTCTCAACTTGTAAATGTACCTTTTGCTAGAGTGTTTATCTCTGTTTGCTGTAACTTTGAACCTAAGGCTAGAGGGGGTTCCTCTGGGTTCTTTGAATCTGATTACCCTGTAAAGTTATTTTCCATCCTGATTTTACAGAGATGATTTTTACCTTTTCTTTAATTAAAAGCCTTCTTGTAAGAACCTGATTGATTTTTCCTTGTTTTAAGATCCAAGGGGTTGGATCTGGACTCACCAGGAACTGGTGGGGGGAAAGGAGGGGGAATGGTTAAATTCTCCTTGTGTTAAGATCCAAGGGTTTGGATCGGTGTTCACCAGGAAATTGGTGGAGGAGTCTCTCAAGGCTACCCAAGGAAGGGAGTTAGCACTTGGGAGTGGTGGCAGCAAAACCAAATCTAAGCTGGTAGTTAAGCTTAGAAGTTTTCATGCAGGTCCCCACATCTATACCCTAAAGTTCAGAGTGGGGAAGGAACCTTGACACCGCCGCTCGGGGGTGGGGTGGGGGGGGGCTGGTGTAATTAAGTCGATGGGAGAGCTCTCTCTCATTGGCTTAGAGCATCTGCACTAGCAGCGCTGCAGCTGCATTGGTACAGCTGTGCCGCTGTAAGCTCTATAGTGTAGCCATAGCCCTTCTGTCAATGGCAACGAGCCAGTCCTCCAGAGCCCTGGCCTTGACAGAAAGTCTGGCCCCTGTGTCCAGCAAAGAGCATTGAAAGGGGCAGATAAACCGAATCAGACCTCAACTATATTTTCCTCCCTGAATTTTTTGAATCATCACCGCAAGCCAATTGCCTCTCCACTGCCAAAAGGCACGGCACTGTGTTTGAGCAACTGCTGAAGTGCATGATTCACCCACCCCTGCAGAAACTGGGAGAAGCAGAGTGGCTTGGGGGGAGAAGAGGCTACTCACCAGAGACTGGGATTGGTAATAAATATCTGAAATGGTCACAGGCAGAACGTACCACTATGACATTCCTCAGACAACCAAATGGTTCCCTTTCCCTTCCCAGACTTAGGTAGGCCTGTAGGCAAGCAACCCAGCAAACACATCTGCCTTCCACATGGCTATCATTCTATGGGGAGAGAGACTGGTGGGGAGGGAGAGAGGTGGTGTTGGGTCTTTGCACAGGTATCAGAAAATTGTTCTTTCCTCACTTGGGCCCTTTCAGAACCTGCCTCTTCCCTCCCTTTCCCCCTGGTTTGCGCAGCCCAGAGACTGTTGTTGTACTGGCTGAGAAATGCACAGACACGGGCACAGTGACTGCTCATTAGTTGGGACTATAACAGACTGCTAAATGCTTTATAGTGATTCATAGGATTTAAATGAAGTCATTGATTTACATCTGTATCTTGTTTGGGGATCATGTTGGAATAGAGTGGAGAAGAGGGAATAGTTGTTTGGGGCGGGAGTTTCAGGCATATATTACCGGAGCAAGAGGGGATTTTTCAGGGGGACGTGGGGTGTATTGTAACTTACCAGCCTTGGGTTCCGGTTCCTGCAGCAGCTTGGGGTCCTCCTCAGGCTACTTGGGGATTTTCCTCAATTGGGTCCATTAGATACAGGTGCAGAATCACATGCTTATCTTCCTCAGAGTCTCCTGGGGCTTAGGCCCCTGCTGCCTCCTTGCCATGAGGCTGGCAGGGTTGAGGAGGGGTTATGAGTCCCTTCAGGCTCTGTACTCGCAGCCCTGGAGAGCACCCTGTTCAGCTCATCGTAGAAGGGGCATGTGCTAGGTCTCCTCCTGGAGTGATTGTTTGGAGTCCTTTACCATCCATTACAGGAGTCTGAGGTGCCTCATGGATGGAGTCTGGTGAATGCCTGCCTCGTCCAGCCTCTGTGAAATGTCCTGGTATAGGTGTATGTTCCTGCCGACCCATGCAGAGCAGTGGAGAATGGTTTACTCTGCCCACACATTGATCACCACCTGGGTGTGCTCCGGAGAACAGGCTGCAGCTCTTGGAATATGCTCCATGATTGACACTGCTGATCAACAGAGTTCACAGGAGAACTGATCTGAAGTGTTCAGTGCTATTGGCAATGGTGGGAGGGACCTTTATATCTTTTGGGTAAGGGTCAGGCAGCAAAGGGATCAGTGCATTGTGGGAGTGGCTCTAGAGGACTGTCAGTACTCGTGACCTGGTACACGCCTCTTGCTCCCATCCACGTTGCACTGTAGAACAGCTTGGGACCCATACCGGAGCAGAGGTGTGCACATACCCACATCCCTTGTGTGCAAATGTTCGCACTGTGCGCACTCCTTCAGGAACATGCTTCATATGTGGACAACGGGGCATAACCCACGGGTAACCATGTACAGTTGTAAGTGCAGACGTAGCCCAGAAGTGAAACCTTAAGGTGTTGAGTATTACCTACAAATAAAGTCAGTAATGAGTGAATCAGATTGTTTTCAGGGGTTGCTTGTTGAGAGTCTACCTGCTGCAATATATTTTTCATAATCTAAAATGATATTTTCCCCCATCTTGTTACGTTGTTTCATGATCCAACATAAAGGTCGTTACTCTTACACTTGCTGTGCAGCAGTACAGTTTTTCTAGTTACTATGAACAAAATATACATTTTCCTTCTGAATAACAGTGAACTGAACTGGCCATTCATATTCCTGAATGTTTTTGGGAAATGCCCTGTATTTTGCCAGCTCTTCTCGAGAGGTAGGGATGTAACTGGTATAAGGGATGGAAAGAACTTGAAAATAAATACTGGTATTTTGCTACTGTATGTTTATTGTGGTCATCAGTATTCTGTGCTACCTGTAGTTTTGTCCACTGCTTACGGACAGACTAGTTCTGTAGTCACGTACATGGCTGACATACATGCTTCCAGCCCCTTTGGAGCCTTGTTCACATGTCCATAACTTTGTAGGCAGGTGGTACAGCTTTGCAACCTGCCATTCAAAATCTGCTTGGGTGTACAGAGGTGTTGGCCACTTTGCTATTTTATTTGAGGGTAGGAAGGGCTCCATTCCATTTGAGGCAATATAATTAGCCCTGCCGCCACCACCATTTACTGTCTCTTGTTTATGGCGCCACACGTAGAGAAATGAGCTGGTGTATTTTCCCATGACTGAAGAAATTTGGAGAGGGACAAGAACTGTATTTCTGAAGCTGCTAGCAGCTTCAGAATTAGTTTCATGGCCAGTTCAGGGAATGTGCATGGACTTCTCTGCTATTAGCCAGCAGAGCTGTCATCCCAGTAATCAAATACTGAAAAAAGCCACCACAAATATGGAAAAGACAAAATGGCCATTGCAATGTGGCAACTGCTGCTCCTTCCTTCAGCAATCTTACTGTCCTTGTACTTCCATTGGTCATTCTTCCCAACCCCTTCCTCTGCAGTGGCTATCGTTCATATTCAATAAAATTGTGAGCCAGTGTTCCCCCCCCCCCCAAAAAGGATTTGTTTTATCTGTCATTTTGGGGTGTATCATGTGCTTTATGGAATTTTTGAGTACAAAATTAATTCACTGTATAAGAAAAGCAAATATGGGGAAAATATATATAGTATTATAAATATGTTTTAGAGCTACATAAATGTTGTCTCAATTTTCTGAAATGGATGGCTTTCATAGTATAGATATGTATTGATATTTGCACAGAGTTTATTAATCTTTGATATCTCTCTGAATTTCCTGATAACATGTTCTTTTTCCTCAGCTTTACGTTGTAGCCTCCAGTTTCTTGGAAACCTTGCAGCAGGAAATGGAGATTCCCAGAATAGCATTTGGAAGTGCGCTTTCCCAGATCTTTTCTTGTAAGCATTTACATGGGTTTTTCTAATGTAATCCCTATGGTTATATTTAGATCTTTTGTACATGATATTTGCTACTCTACTAGCGCCATAATGCTTTGAAAAATAACTTTGTCGAGAATAGACCCATTGAGACCATATCCTGTGGATGTATTTGTGTTACTCAACCTCAGGAGTCAGGACCTGAAAAACCTTCTTGTTCTAAACTGACAATAGACTGGTTTCTTTGGGAAGAGATTGCAAGAAGATCTGTATAAATGATCTGCGTCAATCGCTGAGGTCTTGTTCAGAGACCTTTACAGAGCGGAATGCTGTAATAATTTCTGGGAACCTAACTCTGCCCAACTTCAAGTTGCTGCCACATAAACATGATAGTTATTGGTGCGGGGAGGGGATGGAGAAAGGTGAGTGAAAGTAAAATAAAAAAAGCCTCTGAATGTTGTTGACATACTTAGGAAGTATTGCACACTTACATTTCTATAGAGTGCATTTGGCCAAAATTCCTGGATCAAGCTTACAACAACATACAGCTTTTCAATGACTTTTTTTTATTTACAGTATTTTATTAGATCTGGCCTGAAATATCTTGTGGGATTGGTTTGCTTTTAATAAAAGTGCACATCAACTATACAGTGTTTTACAGTTTTGATTTTAAGGCATGCTTATCTTGATTGACAATAGTTCCATCCTGAAATCTCCATGGACCTAGATTGGTGTGGGCAAACTTTTTGGCCCGAGAGCTCACAGAATTGGGGTAGGGGTGCGGGAGGGGGTGCAGGCTCCGGGATGGGGCTGGGGATGAGAGGTTTGGGGTGCAGGAGGGTGCTTCAGGCTGGGATTGAGGGGTTTGGAGAATGGAAGGAGGGATCAGGGCTGGGGCAGGGGGTTGGGGAGAGGCTCAGGGGTGCAGGCTCTGAGTGGCGCTTACCTCAAGCAGCTCCCGGAAGCAGTGGCATGTCCCTTCTCTGGTTCCTATGTGGAGGCGTGGCCAGGTGGCTGTAAACGCTGCCCCATCTGCAGGCACTGCCCCTGCAGCTCCCATTGGAGCGCGTAGGAGCTGGAGCAGGGCCATGTCGCAGCTTCCCATACCCGCGTGGTATGGCCCTGGGTCCTGGCTAGAGCGCCAGAGTGGGGCCGAGCCGCATAGTGTGGCTCGCAGGTTGGCTTAAAACAGCTCGCGGGCCGTAGTTTGCCCACCCCTGACCTAGATACTGATTTTTGACTGAGTTATGGCAGGTCTACACTAGAAGCGCTACATTGGTGCAGCTGCGCCGCTGATGCCAATCTGATGAAGATGCTGTATGGCGACAGTAGAGAGCTCTCCTGTCAGCATAATTACTCCACTTCTGTGAGAGGTGGAAGCTATATTGGTGGGAGAGTTGGTGGACAGTGCTTAGATTGCTGCAATGTGTGTCGCTCTGACTGGTCTCTCAGAAAGGTATTCTGAGATATCTTCAGCAAACCGGGAAGTGCGGGGGAGACTACACAGGATGGATTTGGAGAGAAAGTAGAGGGAGAAATAAAAAGTTAGCTTATTTAGAAACATAGGAATTGCCATATTGTTTCAGACCTGATGTTCATCTAGTCCAGTATCCTGTCTTTGACAGTATCTCTACCAGGTGCTTCAGAGGAAGGTGTAAAAACCTCACGGTAGGCAGATGTGGGATAATCTGCCCTCAACATTAGGTCTCATCCTTGTCTCTAATAGTTAAGTCCTGAAGCATGAGGTTTCAGCCTCGTCAGCTGTAAGGCTTCAAAAATCATGAGTCAAGCCTCAAAAAAATCATGTTTGGCTTAAAAATCATGAAACTACACGTTGGGTTCTTTTTCTTGTTCGAGCTTTCAGGGTGTGCTTCGGCCACGTTTCAAACTTTTTTCTCAACAACTTTGAGGGCTAGAAATGTACTTTTTTTTTTTTTTTTTTACATGAAAACTGAGATTCTCATGTAATTACTTGACACAGAACCTACAATTTTAAGAAAAACACTAATTATTAAGAGTCACAATAATATCCTGGAAATTGGCAACAAATGTCCCTGTGTTGAATACTTTATATCCTGCCTGATAGAACTTTCTGCAGATAACTATAGTGGAACCTCAGAGTTACAAACCTCGAGTCCCGAGGTGTTAATAACTCTGAGGTTCTACTGGTATGTTCTTTTTTGTCAAGTCTAGGCATCCCTGACTTCCATTGAAGTTACTGGGAATCAAGTGCACTTAGCACTTTGTTGGTTTGGGGTCTAACATGCAGGATAGGTATTACTTAAGCTGAAGAAATATTTGTGATATTGTTTCTTCCATATTAAAAAGTCTTTATCTTTTGATGGTGAAAGGAATTATTTTTAAAAAAAACTTTACTTAACTCCATTTTAGTTTTAGCTTTGCAATTTTCCTTTAAGTCTGATCTCTAAGATTACTTGGAAATGGTTATATGTTTCATAGGTGCCATTTATTTCACCACCTCTTACGCAGTTCATGAAGTTCTTCATGTTTCCTTTCTTATTAAATACCACTGCTGCATTATTCCAGCTTGATCCTTAACAATTTTTTTTTTTTTTTAAGGAATTGCCTCAATCACCATGATGAGAAAATTATTACCTATTGCTGTATGGTACTGTTCACCTGCCTTAATTCAGAGAAAGTGGGAGAACTACTGAAGCATAAGAACTTGAATGTAGCTCTTGCTGTTGTAAAAGTCTATAAAAAGCAACTGGAGTCTGAATGGTCGTATGTATCTCTTTTTGATTTATTTAAATAGCATGGATAACTACTAAGATGCAAGTCTGGTTCACATAAATCAAAACTGAAGACACAGGAAGTAATTGAACTCAGAAGTCTAGGTTGATTAGGATTCTATCATTTAGGGTAAGCAACCATTTTTGTCAACTTTGTACTGATTCTGCATTTTGGTTTTAAACTTACAAGATGTGCATACCAAATTTGTGTGGAACAGAGATAAATTTGAGTCTAAAATGAGCAGCATACATCTAGTGAGTGAGTTACGGGTCATATAATAACGCATTACGTTTGCATGTTGGTTTGTTGCATCTCTCTCTTTGAATATCTGTTTGTAAAAACATGTATTAAAACATATTGGGTTTTGAAGTGGAAACTAAGCCAGGAAATAATCTTTCACAGATTTTAGTACTTGGGGTATGACAGTAAGATTAAGCAGCAATGAAACATTGAATACATTAGTTTTCTTGCATGTCTTAAAAGTTCTAATGCAACATGCAACAATTAAACAAAAGTAGGACACAGATGGTATGCTTGTGAATTTTTGATGTTTCATTTTATTAGTTTAAAGAATATAATCAGTGGTTTTACCATGTTCAACTTTATATATTTTTGCTAATAACAGTTACTATAAACTGTGTTTTCAATTATGCATTTGTGACGTGTTCTCTCTTGCTCCAGCCTTTCCATCAGGATGCAAATAATCTAGTGCCAAGGGGTAAGCCTCTCCAGCACACCCCCTTGTGGCCCTGCTGCATCCCCTTCGGGTTCTTTTCAATCAATGACAAGGCTTAGGTTGGCTTAAGACTATGCAACCACTTTGTGGGATCCCATTTATTAAGTTTTCTACAAATGTTGGCTGTCTTTGTGAGTTGCCCCAAATCACCCTACTTTGGGTCCCTGTAAGAGTCCTAGTCAGTTCTTTGTCCTGGTTGAGGGGAGACCTCAGAGCCCATTTCCTGGAGCTAGGGTTATGCTTCAAACAGCCTGTCTCCCCAGCTCTTCTCCTGGAACAGAGTATACAACAATGAAAGAGTCACACTCTCTCTCCTTAGAGCAGGAGCCCCAGCCCCACTCCTTGGGGGTGGGTTATAATTTAGCCAGCCGTAGGGCCACTAGCTAGTTCTTTCCTCAGCTGATCACTTTTCCCTCAATTAATCCTCAGGCTGGGAGGATCCCTGAGACAGCCTTCTTCTGCTACTGTCTTCTCCCTGCTAACTCAGGGCCCTGCCGGAGCCGCCTTACTCCCTAAATTGTGCAGGCATTTGCCCTGCTGTGAGGGAGGAGGCAGCATTTATGCTGATCCTCTTCTCCCAGCTCATTCCCCATTGGTTTGTGGGGAGAGGGGAGCCTTGCCCTGTCCTCTCTGCAAGGCACCTAGCCCCCAGGCTCTTAAAGATAAAGTGACACAATTTCTTCCCAGGAACTTCATTCCCGGGACCGATGCTTCTCTCTCCACATGCCCCTTAGGTCCTCATACTGAACTTTTCAAACCCTTAAAGGGCCGTTTGGGGGGCTGACCACTGAGAACTACTTCCTTTAAGGGCCAGATCATCCTGTCACCTCCACTTTTATTTAAATATGGGGGCGTTTTGAGAAAAAATACTCAATAGTGAAAACAAAAATCTTTTTGCAGATTTTGTAGTTCATTATTTTCAAGAAGAACAAGTACTCCTGTTCTTTTTGCGGATACAGACTAACACGGCTGCTACTCTGAAACCTGTCATTATTTCAAGATTATGTCTAAAGTCAAAATTTAACTTCTATGTTTGATATAAATGTTGTAATTTGGAAGAGATAGTAAGATCCTACTGGATATTTGGAAAATCCCCCAAAAGGACTTAGAATGACTAAAGGAAAAGCAAATGTCATTTAATAGATTGGTTTTGTTCCAATTTTATTTAAAACATTGTTTGTGGGTAGGCTCTTTTTCATAACCAGGTCAATTTACTTAGGGCAGAAACAGTTTCCAAACAGCAATCTTAAAGTTTGAGGGTCAGACAACCAGATTTCTATTTGAGTCTTTTTATTGGGAAAGTAATTATAGAATACATAAAGCAGCAAAATAAACAACTGGACTATCTGTTTGCTCACTGTAGGCTCATTCTGTTGACTTCTGCTTCATTAATGAAGACCTTTAAGTCATGTGACTGTGGGAATCCAAAATTGCTGTGGAAGAAAAGCAGAATAAACAGTCTTTTGTCAGAATAACCTTCAAATGAGTAGGGAGCAAAATATTGTACAAGGTCATCAGATGAGGATAGAAGGGGAAATAATAGGCAGAAGTGGTTAATCCAATGTCCATAATAAGGCACTTGCAGAATGTTTGCTTCCCCCCACCCCTTTCAGAATATAGAAGGTGTCACGTTCAGTAAATCACATCTCCTTGATCACATGCATGCAAACTCAGGACACTCATGTAGACATTTGGAAAGCCTATCTTTAAATACACTTGGTTGCACTTAATCATTCCCAACTATCTGTTATGATGGCATTTTGCTCATTTACAAATTGTTCCGATATTATTATTGGGAATTTAGGAGCCAAGCAACAATGTTAGATTTCTGTTACTATTATTTCCACTGTGACAACTTGGTCACACCCATCAATATTTACATACCAGTAAAATTCAGTGGGAAGAAAGTAGGGTGGTTTTCAAGAAAATCAAACACTGAAAAGCAAATTAAGTATATTTCACTTCAATGGTTATGATGCTGCTGTTATGCACCAGATTCAAGTGTGTCACTGTCGCTGTTCTGGCAGACACATGTTCACTTCTGTTGGTAGCATGCATTGCACATAGGCTAATGTCTGCATATTGTCATAGAGAGTAGTCATGATTGTGTTATACCCGAAAGCAGCTTCACAAATACAGTGTAGAAAGGCTTTTATTTTTTGACAAGGATTTGGGATCGAAAACTCCTCAAAAGAGTAATTGAATTTTCTTTGTAGCCATAGCAGAGCAGGACTGATTTCTGATTCATTAAGTACAGTCTTGAATAACTTAACTCCTCACATGGAGGGAACTCAAAAGAATGTTAGATGACTTGCAATTACCAGCTGCCTTTAAGGGGACTGTTGTTGTTGAAACATAGCCTCTTCAAAGCTGGCTGGCCTTTTACAAGTTGGCCGGCATTCTGTTTAAAATGTTCAAAGTTGGGGAATCTGGAAAGCAACCTTGGATAAGCCCCCAGTTTTTCAAATCTCCATCTATCCAAAAGGTTTTGAAACTATGCAGCCCAAGAATTATTTATAGTCTAAAATTAGAGCATTAATCTATTAGCGCTGGTTCAAAAAAACCCAAACCGAAACACTCCACACACACACACTTTAGTCAGAAAGTAGCATTTCATTGAAATCTAAAATTTTCTGTGGGAAGATACAGACAGATGTAGTCCAGTTAGGGAACTGGGACCAGGGGAGAGAACAGAGGAATGAGGGAGCCAGAATTACAAGTCCTAGGACGCTACGGTCCTTCAGGAAGATGCAGAAATTAATACCTGAAACATTTCAACATTTCTGAATCAAACTTTTTTCTAGAACATTTTGTTCCACAAATAGTTTTGATATTTTGACTTTTCAAACACTATTTGGGATGACTGAAATGTCAAAATATTGCAGTTTCCCGTGGGATGGAAATTCTGTTTTTTCAATCAGCTCTACTGTTTTCATGGTAGAAATATGATCTTACTTATTAATACCGAAGGTCAAGAAAATAGTTGGGATAAATTGTGTCTCAACTAGGGCTATCAATTAATCGCAGTTAGCTCAAGTGATTAATGCAAAATAAATTAACTAGATTAAAAAATTAGTTGCGATTAATTGCAGTTTTAATCAAACTGTTAAATGATAGAAAACCAATTTTAATTTTTTATAAATATTTTTGGATGATTTTCTACATTTTCAAATATACTGATTTCAATTACAACAGAATACAAAGTGCACAGTGATCATTTTATATTATTATTTTGGTTATAAATATTTGAACTGTAAAAAAGATAAGAGTATGAGGTGAATTGAAAAATACAAGTGCTATAGAGCAATCGCTTTATCGTGAAAGTGCAGTTTACAAATGTAGATTCTCTTTTACATAACTGCACCCAAAAACAAAGCAATGTAAAACTTTAGAGCCTACACACACACACACACACACACACACACACACACACACACACACTTCCCTCCTAACACCAAAAATATTTAAATAAATGGTATTCTGTTATTGTTTAACAGCATGATTAATCGCGGCTATTTTTTTTAATCTTGTGATTAATGGCAATTGATCTTTTTAATCGTTTGACAGCCCTAATCTCAACATAAGGATAGTTGAAAGTGTTTTTTGGAGAACCAAAAAGTAAACATGTTTCTTGAAGGGGAAAACTATAAAAGCAATACCCTATTACTTGATGATTGTATTGAATATAATAAAAACAGGAACAAAAATTAATCAAGCATTTTTAATAAAAAAATTGTAAAACTACAAGCTAAATAGAAATGTCAAGAGACTTGCTTGTGACTTCAGTTCAGCTCATTTCATTGTAATACCTACTCAGTGTCGCAATGGACCTTTCAGTTTGTATTTTTCTGTTCTTAATGTACTATAAGCCTGTTGGCCTATGAGAACTGTGCCAGAGCTATTGAAAGCTTATCATTTATATTTTTGTTTTTAAAAGGCCACATAAAATGCTCAGAATCTGATATTATTAACTCACATGGAAAAAATAGTGAGAATGTACTACCTCTAAGAGTAGTACTTGGTCAATACTAAATATTGCAGAAGAAAAACAAATATGTTGAACTTTTAGCAAGTTGGCAGGTATTTCCATGCAGATTTTTGTATATGTACCGACTAAGGTTCAAAAGTTAAAAATCAAAACAAAAATCCCTTTCTGCAGCCAAGTGCCTTTTAGCCACTATTGATTATGAAGTAATTTGCGGTGGGTGGAAGCAGGCATTTTCATGCTGTCTTTTCAATCTCTTTGCAGCTCTCC